GGAGCCGCGGGCAGGCGTCCCCTGCTTCTAGGTGTTTAGTGTCTTATTTATTTTTGAAGCCGGAGGGGTGGTAACGCCGAACGGCACCGGGCTCCGCGGCGGCCCCGCCCCAGGCTGCTTGGGGGCCGGCTCTCGGGCCAGCCCGACTCCGGCCTGGTCTGTCTGTGCCTTGGTCAGGGCCCGGCTCCTCTGGCGCCTGGGTCCCCGCAGGGGCGCGCCCCGCCCTCCTGTCCATCCCCCAGCCGCCCATGCACAAGGCCAGGGCGGGGCTCAGCAGGGCCGCGGCCCCAAGGGGGCAGTTCAGGCCCAGAGCGGGCCAGGGGCCGGCGCGGGAGGCCGCTGGGGGGACGTGCTCTGGCTTTGAGCTCTGTACCAACCCGGGTGTCCTGCGATGCTCAATAAAGCTCTCTGACCGCTCGGCAGCGACCTGGACTGTCTGAGGCTGTGGGTGGCCACGGAGTGGTGAGGACAGCGCTGTCCACCCCTGGGCAGTGCGTCCACTTAGCTTATCCCGCACGGCTGAAGCCTGGGACCAGCGGCCCTGTTTCCAGAAGCATCACAGTGGTGCCACTTGTCTGGGTTGGGTCTGGGGTCACTGTTTGCCCCAGGCCTGGGACTTAGGGGGCCCTGCCCTTTGGGCACTGGGGCGGAGGTGAGGCTCCCACAGCAGGCCTTGCAGGCAGAAAAGGCTGAAGGCCCACCGGGCAGTCCTGGGTCAGTCCCCCTGCTGCTGACCTGGCCGGCCGGGCCTTCCTGCCCACCGTGCTGCCCACTCGCAGGAGGCCGCACGTAGCCCTGAGGGGTCGGGGTGCCCGGGGCGTCAGAGCAGAGGGCAGGAGGGTGGGTGGCAGGAGGCGCATCCATGCCCCAGAGACCAGCCCCTGGCTGTGAGTCGTGTCCTTGTCCCGGACCGCACTGTGGCCACTCAAGCCCACCGCGCTCAGGCTGGGGGAGGAAGCGCATCGCATGTCCAGCGTCCAGGGGCCGGTGCGCCAGCAGCTTCCGGCCCAGCCTGCGGCCTGGGCTCTGGCGCCCCCGTGCAGCCGTGAGTGGGCCGCAGGCACCGCGGGGAGGGCGGGAGGCTGGCCGGGCCTCGCAGGGTGGACGGCGCATCCCCGGCCAAGCCGGGCACGGGGCTGCCCGGGGTTTTCGTAAGGCGTGGGCAAGGCTCGGCCCAGAGGACCCACTTCCAGCGTGGCGCTCTGGCCCCGGGCTAAGGCCACAGCTGCCCCAGACCTGCCTGGGGAGAGCCGCCGGGGAGCGGGGTTCGGGGAGGCGGAGGCGGTGCACAAGCTGGAGACTCGACCGGCCTGGACACCCATCCCTGGGCTGGGGGGGGGTGTTGCGGAGGGGAGGTGGGGAGCATGCTGGAGCCCCGGTGGCTGCAGGGAGGGGACCGGGCCCGGGTGGAGGGACGGCCTGGGGCGCCCACGGCCAGGTGCTCCCAGAGACGGGCCGAGGGCCCCTCCCGCCCACAGGCACAGAGGCCCCGGGGCAAGCCCAGTGCCAGGCCCCCACAGCGAGGCCCGGGGCGGCGGCCAGGGCATCCGCTGCCTGGGTTGCTTCCGGCCCCCACCACAAGCCCCACAGAGCACAGCCAGCCTTGCACCCCACACGGGGCCCCGGGACAGGCATCTTCCCACCCCTCTGGGGCCACCTGTGTGTGGGGGGGACCAGCAATAGCCGTGGCCTCACCGGGTGCCCAGCGGCAGGCCGCCCACCCCCTGTCCAGCTTTTGCCCACACAGTGAAAGGGACCTAATTATTCCCAGGAAAAGTGGCTCTTCGTCTCCAAACAGTATCTGATGCCCATCAAGTGGCCTTGGTGTGACCACCGAGGGCCAGTCCCCAGACTGGCCACACCACACTTCAGAAGGGGCCAGCACTCGGGCGGTCCTCTCCGTGGCCGGCCTGGCCAGGCTGGGCGATGCAGCAGAGCGCAGCTGGCAGCCAGCTAG